CCTCCAGAGCTCACGCAAGTAGGAAAGAAACCTCCTTCATTTCCTCCTCTTTCTCCTCCCCTCCTTCCTTTCCCTCTTCTGGCAGAGATCAACGATCGAGCCTCTTTTCACGTGTCTTGGCCCAAGGAAAGCAACCTGGCTGGCTCACTCCTCTTCCCTCCCTCCCTCCATTCCTCGCTCCCTTCCCAGGTCCTCCCCAACGTGCCCGTCGACTCCCGCGTGGACGTCTGGGCCATGGGCTGTCTCCTTTACTGCCTCGCGTACGGTCGCTCGCCCTTCGAGTCTCCCACCGAGGGAGTCCTCAGGCTGGGCATCCTCAAGTAACCCCTTCCTCCCTCCCTCCCTCCATCCCTCCCCTTCTCCCCCCCATCCTTGGACCTGGCAGCACTACCCTATCTCTGAGCCCTTGCGTCCCTGAAGTCTCTACCCCTCTTCCCCTCTTCCCTCCCTTTCTTCGTTCCTCTTCCTTCCTTGTCAACCCTCTCTTCCCTCCCTTTCTCCGTCCCTCCTTCTTCCTCTTCAACCCTCGCAGTGGCCGCTACTCGTTTCCACCTCGCAACGCGCCTCCCCTCCCCTTCCCTCCCTCCTCCTCCTCCTCTTCCTCCTCTTTTTCTCCCGCCTTCAACCAACTCATCACCTTTTGTCTGAATCCCAACCCCTCCCTCCGCCCCTCCCTTTCCGATGTGATGAAAGAGGCCCAGGCGCTGGTCGCTTCCCCCTCCTTCTAGAGCCTCCTCCCTTCCCTCCCTGCCTCTCTCCTCCATTCCCGTCACGCTATCCCAGGTTCGGGGGGGTGAAGGAAAAGCTCCTCATGAGCAAATATTGGTAAATCAAAGAAATATGCACGTAAACATAAGTGCGCCTCGGATCCTTCCCGTGTACACGGATGGGGGAAGGGGGGGGGTTGCTAAGTGAAGGGCAATAACGGCACAGAGAAGACGAGGAAAATTCAGGCGTTTGTCTGTCGAAATAGAACAGCTTCCGTTCTTCCATCGTAACAAAGGATGAGACTTTGATTGAAAAAGGCTGCCGTCTCCCACGCCCCGTCCCTCATCCTTGCATGAAGACAAGGTATCAAATCTTTGTACGAAGGACGTATGTATTATTTACCCATATTTTAACTTCTTTTTTTACATGTGCTCAAAAGGATTTTGGGTTTGACAGCATAAAAATCTGGTTCTTCTCCATCATGCCACTACGAATGAAGCCTCTCTCGCCAACTTCTCCCACGTGACGGCACGAGCACGTCGCAGCGTTGTTCCCCCTTCCCTGTCACCTGCTCCCGCTTCCCCTCGCTGTGTACCCTCTTCACCTCCCCCCTCACTCTTCTCCATGAAGCATTCTGTCGTCCACACGCATGCACGTCTTCCATATCATCACTGATCTATGCACCCCCCCCACCTCCTTCCTCCTCGTCGAATCTCTTCCTCTCCATCTCCTTCCCCGTGCTTGATCTCTATCCCTCCCTCGTCCATTTCCTCCTCCTCACGTGCTTCTTGGTACTGCCCCCTCACACCCCTCGCGCTGGCCACAGAAGGACCACTTCAGTACCCCTTGCCCGATCCTCCTCCCTCCTCTCTATCTTCTTTCTCTCCTCCATCGGCCCCCAAGACACTGCTGCTATCCTCTCCTTCAACTTCCCTCGCCCTCACCTCCTCCTCACTCAGTTTCTCCCCTCGCTCTCCCCCCCACCCCCGAATCACGGCTCCTCATCCTCTTGCCTCCCTCCCCGTCTGCCGCCCAGACCCGACGTCCCCCTCCTCATCCATCCCTTCGCCCTTCTCCTCACAACTTCCCTGGAAGAGGGACGAAGCGGGTGGGGGAGAAGCAGGACTGCTCGTACTTAAGGAGGCGAGGGAGCGATTTATGAGCCCAGAGAGGCGCCGGAGGAGGGGTGATGAGGGAGGGAGGAGAAAAGGGGAGGAGGAGGGGGAAAGCGAGGTGGTGGGGCGAAGGGAGGAAAGGGTGGTGGAGGAGGTGACAGGGGAGGAGGGAGGGTCAGGGGATTTCCCTCCCAACGTCTTAAGCCGCCCTACAAGGGCTTCACCGCTATAGATGCTGCCACTCTTGAGGACGTTCCTCTGACTATCGTGGGTGCCATAGGGCCAGTGACTCGGGTCATGGAAACCGCCGTTACTGCGCGTACTGATGTAGCTGTTGTCTGAGCAACCGCCGTTACTGCGCGTACTGATGTAACTGTTGTCTGAGTAACCGCTGTTACTGCGCGTACTGATGTAATTGTTGTCTGAGTAACCGCCCTAACTGCGCGTACTGATGTAACTGTTGTCGGAGTAACCGCCGTAATTGCGTGTACTGATGTAGCTGTTGTCGGAGTAACCAGCACCATTGCCCTTGTTGACGTCACTCTGATCACTGAACCCGCTGTAGCCGCTGCTCCCGTTGCTCTGACTC